CAGGCGCACGTGAGACTGTATTAAGAAGAATAAGGATTTCCGTAGTTGCAGGTTAATCTAGAGATCTGGAAGAAGCCAGACAGACAGGGGCCTTCACTATCAGGTTAGGCTGTGGGGAGGCCCCAGAGGTTTTGGAATATCAGGGTATTTTATGAAAATATTCTGGCAGCTGCTCATAAAATAGATAGGAGAGGGAATAAAGTGAAATCAGATAAAACAGAGCCATTTCAAGAATGCAGAGATGGGGGGTAGGAAAGGCCTAAATTAGAACGTTACCAATGTGAGGGTGAGGAAACTATGAGAGGGACAGAAACAAGATGTTTCCAAGGAGGGGCCTATGATACTTGATGATTAGCGAGGTGCAGTATTTTAAGAAATGAAGATGATGCCAAGAAAGTGAGCCTGGGCAACAGAAAATGATGCCATCGTTTACAGATAAAGGGTAGTCCTGGTCAGGAGCTTGGTCAAGAGAAACACTACGCATTTGTGGTAATGGTGTGCCATCCACCTAGTGGTGTCTACCAGGTAGGTTTTCATGCAAAGTGGAACTCAAAATCTAGGCTTAGGACTGAGATGTCGATTTTGGAATCTGCTTTTGGGCAACAAACTCAGGCTGAGCCCTTTAATGTGGATGCTAAGAGAGAGGATGTATAGGAAGAAGATCAGAGGACTTTGAATGGAGCCTTGGCCATGTTTGTATTCAGGACAGGGTGAGAAGTGGAGCTCAGTGAAGGAGGCATATGAGAAATTGTAAAATCAAAGGAAGATATTGAATGTCGTTAAGAAGAAAGGGCCAGTGGGACTTGAAGGAGGTTTATTTAGAAAGGTCCTTGATTACCTTGAAAGTAGACCATCGTGGATGTCTAGTGATGGGGTAGGGGGAAGAGTTGAGAAAATAGAGGTAGTGAATATAGACGATTCTTCTGAAAAGAGATGTAGTTAAAGGAAGGGGGGACAGGTTGAGGATCCTATGTTTGTGAGAAGGGATTTTCAAGTCATGGGAAGCTTTAGCCTTTTTTGTTGACAGAGAAGAGATTCACTTCAGGAGTTTTTTGAATAATCACACAGGTCTGAAAAGGTAAATATACTTGAATGTTTACAATAGTGGGAAAACATTGGAAACAACATAAATGTAAAAGAAAAGTTATATCTATGTGGCCGCATCCCTCCATCCTCTGTCTCTGTGGACACATTGCCTTCTCCTTTCTGTGTGAAATCTCCTGTCTCCCTCTTATCAGGATTCATGTGATCTAATTTAGGGCTCACCTGAATAAGCCAGAATGATCTCCCCATCACAAAGTTACTAACTTGATCATGTCCACAAAGTCCCTGTTACCATGTTAGGTCGTATTCACAGGTGCCAGGGGTTAGGACCTGGACATCTTTGGTGACCATTATTCAGCCTCCTACACTTTCTTATAGCTGCTGATACAGAAGTGGAATGACCATCACTAACCTGTAGTCTGGTGAAATGGTCTCACCACTCAGTGCATGAAACCAGGGCAAGCATTATATAGTGAGAAGATCACCACCTTTGGCATACCTCCCACCTCTCATTCCAGTCCACTGACAATGCTGCAACAGGGTGGAAGGACTCTATGATGTCTGGAGCTTATATTTACTCTTTGTCCTTTTCAACACTCTTCCCATATGGTCCTTCCTTTTTTAAAGTAACATTATTTTGAGCTCCTTGGATAGCAGCTATGCAGCAGCTAGTGGCAGCTAGCTTTCATTGACCATATGCACAATTTCTGTACTTTATGGGGGAATATCTTTTAGCCCAAGACAAGCTGGTGGGGACACCATTCCTCTCCTCACATTAGTGAGGAAGAAACCAGGGTTATTCGATTGACCCAAAGTACAAGATCTCAAAAGTGGTGGAAGAGGTTTCACACCCAGCACCTCGGTCATGGTGCCCGGTACTCTTTACCACTGCAGTGTGTCCTGCCTGATGGCTGCTGGTTTTCCTCGTCAGTCACAAGTGCATCAGGTGATTTAAGAGTTTTCATTGATGGGTTTTTGAAAATCTGATTTAGTTTCATTAGATAATTATAGCTGTTCTTGTCAGAAGTGATTGTGGGAATTCATACTTAATTAGAAAACATCTAATATTTTTGCAAAATAATTGACCAAGATCGAGTGCCTTTTTATTATAAATGAGAGAAGTTCTGGAGTGAGAGTTGCCCTCTGAAAAATGTGTTAGGATCCCAACTTCATTAAATTGGACTCAAGTGATCCTAGTATATCGCCATTGCTTCTCAATAGTCCTTTCTGAAGTACCTCAAATTAAAATTGTAAACAGGATTTCAAAGAGAATACTTAAAATGCTTGAAGAAATGAACTGCTGTAGTTATTTTAGGAGTAATGAGTTTTATACAAGTAATTGATGTGCCAGTCATCCTCAGGTCCCCTAACCTTTCCTTCTTGGCACTACTTTGTCCACTTATCTTTATTTACTATTAATGTAAAACTAACAAAATTATGTTTCTTTTAAAATTGTCTATACATCAGATCTTTCACTTGGTCTGACTTTTCCTTGAATTAGTTAAAATAAATGAGTATTTCAATTTCCTTGAATTAGATAAAGTGACCATAATGTATGTGTCTGTTGCATGGCTGTTAGAGTTTTTGGAGCTCCATGGAATGTCTTTTAAAAATCAACTCAAAACAACATAATATATGCAAATGGTTGATAAGCATGTGAAAAGATGGAACCTCATACACTGCTTGTGGGAATATGAAATGATATAATCACTTTTGAAAATAGTTTGGCAGTTTCTTTAAAAATTAAACATACGTTTACTATATATGATCCAGCCATTTCACTCCTAGATATTTATCTAAGAGAAATGAAAACACTATATCCCTTTACAAATGTGTATGCAAAAGTTTACAGCATTATCATAGTAACCAAATGCTAAAAACAATCAATTGTCTATCAGCCAATGAATGGGTAAATGACATGTGGTCTGTTCATACAATGAAATGTTATTTGGCCATAAAATGGAATGAAGTACTGATACATACTACAACATGGATGAACCTTGAAAACATGCTAAGTGAAAGAAGCCAGACACTAAAAAACCACCTAGTGAATGATATTATTTATGTAAAAATTTTAGTAAAGACAAAGGTATAGAGACAGGAAGCAAATAAATGGTTGTCTGGGGCTGAAGGTGGTCCTAAGGATTGACTTTAGATGACACAGGAAACTTTTTGGGTGATGGGACTGTTCTACAGCTGGATTGTGGTGATAGTTGTACAACTGTATAAATTTACTAAATCTTATCCAACTACCACTCTTACGATGGGTAAATTCTACAGGGTTTATAAATTATACCTCTAAATACCTGAATCATCAAAAAATGACATCATAGCAATGACTCATTATATACACCAATTTAGTGATACTTCTACGTCTCAAATTTTTACTAAAATGGTATCAGTTTATTAGGTCATTAAATATGAAATGTCTGATTTTGAATTAAAAGTATAGTATATCTCAAACAAGAAGCAGTACAATTAATCAAAATGGTTCACCTTTATGTCATGACATCAAAAGAAAGGCAAGCTTCAAGATGATTTCTCTTCTGACGCTTGTTTAATTCATGCAGAAGGAACCCATCTATCCAGCAGCTTTACCTTGCCTGTTTGTGTCCAATGGTCCAATATTGTTGGAATAGTAACAACAAACCTTGTTGCTAATTCACACATAGGTTCAGATGGATTTGCTTCCACTACAGCTTTCAGCTCATCATTATCCACCTTGGTTTCAGTTTGCCCATGTGGCTCACTTTCAAGATTAAAATCACCAGAAGAGAACTTCTCCAACTATCAATGTACTTTGTGTTCATTAGCCACATCCTTCCCAAACACTGAGTTGCTATTTCAAGCTGTCTGTGCTGTGTTGGTTCTACGATGGAAATGATATTAATAAATAACATGAAGTTTTGGCTTATCCATGGTTTTACAAAAATTGCTCTTAAAAAATTTGAAAGATAATCATAAACCAAAACATGCATTTGAAAGACTGGGGATGTACCTTCATGATAAAAACAACAACAAAAAAATACCCACCCAAGAAGTGTCAAAGTGCAAAACATCAGAGATATCAACTGTCAGACTTAATATTTAAGGAAATCAGACATTCCGTATTTAATAATCTTAATATCTTTAGGATAAGTATTCTGCCATTTATGAGCCAAATGAGGATTCATGTTTTGTTAATTTAAAGGCCAAAAGATGATTTTCATTGTATCAGAACTTTATGGTCTAGATGGAACCTGTTGGGCCAGTGATTTTTTTTTTAATATGACATTGTTAAGGGTTGAATTGTGTCCCCCAGAATTTCATGTGTTGAAGTCCTGACGCCCCCTCAAAGTACCTCATAAAGTGACCTTATTTGGATAATAGAGTCTTTCTAGATGTAATTAGTTAAGATGAAGCTGTAATTGAGTAGTATGGGCCCCTATTTTGATATGACTGGTGTCTTTAGAAATTTGGACACAGGGAAAATGCCATGTGAAGACTGGAGTTAAACTGCCATAAGCCAAGGAACAGCCAGAAGCTAGGAGAGAGGCCTGGAAGAGATCCTTCTCTAGCACCTTCAGAGATTAGCATGGCCGCCCAGCAACTTAATCTTGAACTTCTAGCCTCCAGAACTGTGAGACAATAAATTTTTATTGTTTCAGCCACCCAGTTTGTGGTACTTTATTATGACAACCCTAGCACACTGTTACAATCACCTCCATTAAAATAAGTTTAAAATGCAGTTTGGCTTTTGGTTTTGTTTTTTAATACCTAGACATGTTCAAATGCAGTGTTTATAGAGGAAGATCAACAGATCCTCCAGCTCCTGGTATTTCATTTTTATAAATCGTTCTGTTCTAGATATTAACTGATGTTTTAAAGCATGACTTTTTCTACGTTTAAAAACTATACTTTCAAGTTTAAACAGTATCTTATAACTCCCTACTGTCTCACATATTTTTCTTCACTAGCTTGTTTTGACAGGAGCCATTCAAGTGGCAGACAGAGTTTCTTCAGGGAAGAGTTCGGTGCTTGTGCATTGCAGTGATGGATGGGACAGGACTGCTCAGCTGACATCCCTGGCCATGCTGATGTTGGACAGCTTTTACAGGAGCATTGAAGGGTTTGAAATATTGGTACAAAAAGAATGGATAAGTTTTGGACATAAATTCTCATCTGTAAGTAAACAGTAAAGCTAAAACAATCAGATCAATGCCACTTGGGATTAAAAAAACTAGTTGTTAAACCATGTATTCACTATTAAAATGAAAATTTGAAGAATGTAATAAAAACCACTTTACAGGCTTGAAAATGTGTGATGCCTTGAGTAGTGGAAGTCCTTTTAGGAGATATGTTTATCCATCTACACTATTTTTACAATTTTACTTGAAAGTAATACAGAGTCTGCATAGAAATACTTAAATTAAAATTTTGCAAAAGAGTGAAGATTTTCTCAACTAATGTTATAGCTATTATAACCAAATACACATATCTTATGGAAATGTTAGACTTTCAGTTGAGGTGTTTTATTATTCTCTGGTATGCATTTTTAAAATCATTAAGAGATGAGTAAGTTCAAGAGATCTATTGTATAACACAATAGCTATAGTTAACATATTTTATTCTTGAAAAAATGCTAAGAGTAGATGTAAAATATTCTTACCACAAAAACAACTACGTGAGGTAATACATATGTTAATTATGTATAGTCATTCTGCAATGTGTATATACATCAAAACATCATATTGTGTATAGTAAATACATACAAATTTATCTGTCAATTTTAAATAAATGAAAGTAAATTTGAAAAAGTATCCCCTTCTCAAAATAAAATGAAATCATTAAGAGAACCTATTAAAACTCATATTCCCAGATCTTCTTTCCCGATGCCTTTGGAGGAAGCATTTCAGCCAGCTCCACAGTGTTTCTCATGAAGGGGATCCATAGGCCACATTGTCAGACATACTCTGTCACCTTTTAGCCTCTGTCCAACTTCATAAACAGAGTGAATAACATTTTCCAGTAGGAAAAATCATGGTTTAGTAAATGAATACATTGTGTGAGATATTTGGTTTTGTTCTTAAAAGAGAAAGAAGACTTCATTCTAATAAGCATACTTTTTGACACGATTCCAAGCCTTGAGACTTTAGGATTATTCCCTTTGCAACAGAAAGCACTGCCTTGGGTGTATTGGTAACATACTGTGTAGGACAATCTTGTCCATTCTATCTACAGATGCCCAGGACTTCTACGGAAGTCCAATTGTATGAAATAATTGTAATAATCACCCTGCATATCACAGGATGATGCTTTGCCAATTTTTATTGGTATCTTACAGAAGTTTATGTACTTAATTTCCATTATTCAAAACCTTATATTATTTGTTTGTATCATCATGGAAATATATATAATACTATTTACTCCCTGAGAAACTTGGCATTTAGAGGTTGTATTGTCACATTTTGTGGGTTATGTGTTCTCTCTCAGCTTTGTACCCATGAATTCAAACAAATTGTCTTTACCAATTCATTTCAGAGAATAGGTCATGGTGATAAAAACCACACGGATGCTGACCGCTCTCCTATTTTTCTCCAGTTTATTGACTGTGTGTGGCAAATGTCAAAACAGGTAAGGAATATATGGGATGAAAATACATTCAACTTAATGTTTAAATTAGGTATCTTAATATTATATCTGGAATTTGCTCCCAGAATAATACAGGGCAGAGATAGAGATGAAACAAGACTAGCTGTGTGTGAATAATTGTTGAAGCCAATTTATAGGTACATACGGGTTCACATTTTTATTCCTGCTACTATTTATATATCCGGAATTTTCTATAATTAAGTTATAAAATTAAGTATTTAACTGTATTATCTGTACAAAGGGAGGATCAATGGAATTTACAATACTAAGTTGTCTTTTATATACACTGGCACTTGTATATAGCCATGTGTGCTAACTTATAATACCTTATATTAGCTATCCTGTACACTCAGGAGAACCCAGAAAATCAGCCTGTTTACATCTGTTTCCTCCATATTCCTTTACTTAATGCTTATTTAAACTTCTCAGTCCTATGTAAAATACCAAAAAATGAGCTCTAGGGTATGTAAAGATTGCAGCCTCTATCATGTTTCCTAGAGCCCTACAATGTGACAGCATTTATTCACTTCTGTGGTGTATTTTTTCAGTTTTATGAAAGATCAGCCCCAGTTTTTCATGCTTTGTGTGTTTGTTTTTGTCTAGTTCCCTACAGCTTTTGAATTCAATGAACGATTTTTGATTATAATTTTGGATCATCTGTATAGTTGCCGATTTGGTACTTTCTTATTCAACTGTGAATCTGCTCGAGAAAGACAGGTGAGTCAAAATGCTAATCTTTTTTTGTAAAGGCTTGCCAAAATGTATCTAGTCTTCTATTAAATAAAAAGGATATGATATCTTGTAAGACACTGACTTTGCCCTCAGGGAATAGGAATGACATCAAAGATATGCAAGGTCTGTCTCCTAAAACTCCATAAAAAATGTCAGTAAGGGAACTTTTTTAAATGACAGGCCCATAGCAGAGAAAATTAGAAAGGAAACACAACAGCAAACTTTTAGAAGCTGAAAAGCCAAGAGATAAGTGGTAAATAAGATAGTGTGAAAAAACTGAATCTCAAGCTTTCAGTGGAGGAGCCAAGAACCAGACCACTTTGCATTGCAGGGAGTACAGATGACTGAGAGATAAACTCTAGTAGGTATCTGGGGTGAAAGGAAAGAGATACAGTGAGAAAGAATAAAGAATCAAAGCTTATCCATACAGAAAACTACCAAACCATGAACATAAATAGTAAGAGTGAAAGGAACAAAGTATATACAAAACCAGAAAACAATTAGGAAAAAGGTCAGGAGTAAGTTCTGACCTATCATTAATAACCTTGATTGTAAATGCACTAAATTCCCCAATTAAAAGATATAGACTGACTGACTGGATAATAAAAAACAAGACCCACCTATATACTGCCTACAAGAAACACACTTCACACGTAAAGACACAGACTGAATATGAAAGAATGGAAAATGATATTCCATGCAAATGGAAACCAAAAGAGAACGGGTATTTATATCAGATAAAATCTACTTCAGGTCAAAACTATAAAAAGAGACAGGGAAGATCATTATATAATGATAAAGGGGTCAAATCAACAAGAAGATAAAACAAGTATAAATATATTTGCACCTAACACCAAAGCACCCAAGTATGTAAAGTAAATATTATTAGATCTATATGGAGAGATAGTCAGTGATACAATAATAATAGAGGACCTCAGCACCCCACTTTCAGCAGTAGACAGAACATCCAGACAGAAGACCAACAAAGAAATATCAGAGTTAAACCACACAGATCTACCAGACATTTATACAACATTCCACCCAACAACTGCAGAATACAAGTTCTTCTCATCAACACCTGGTACTTTCTTGAGGATAAATCAGATGTTAAACCACAAAACAAATATCAATAAATTTTTTAAAAACTGAAATCATATCAAGTATTTTTTTCTGACCACAATGGAATAAAACTAGAAATCAGTAACAGGAGAAACTTTGGAAACTATACAAATACATGTAAATTAAACAACATACTCCTGAACAACGAATGGGTCAAAGGAGAAATTTAAAAGGAAATTAAAAATTTCTTGAAATAAATGAAAGTGGAAAGACAACATACCAAAACCTATGGGATATAGCAAAAACAGAGAAGTTTATAGCAATAAATGTCTACACCAAAAACACAGGAAGATCTCAAATCACTGAACATTTCACCACAATAAAATAAAACAGCAAGAACAAACTAAACCCAAAATTAGTAGAAGGAAGGAAAAATAAAGAGCAGAAATAAACTAAATAGAGACTTTAAAAACAACACAAAAGATCAATGAAATAAAGTATTGGTTTTTGGAAAAGTTAAATGACAAACCTCTAGGTAGGCTGATTTTTAAAAAGATTCAAGTAAATAAAATCAGACGAAAAAGGAGACATTACAACTGATACCACAGAAATACAAAGGATCATAAGAGAATATTATGGACAACTATACGCCAACAACTTGGAAAACTTAGAAGAAATGGATAAATTCCTGGACACATACAACCTACTGAAATTGAATGATTAGAAAATAGAAAATCTCAACACACAAACAATGAGTAATGAGATTGAATCAGTAATAAGATGATTCCCATCAAAGAAAATCCCAGAGCCAAGTGTGGTGGCACACACCTGTAATCCCAGCTATTTTGAAGGCCAAGGTGGGAGAATTACTTGAACCCAGAAATTAAAGTCTAGTCTAGGCAACATAACAAGATCCCATCTTAAAAAAAGAAAAGAACAGGACATGATGACTTCACAGCTGAAGCTGAATTCTACCAAACATTTAAAGAAGAAGTTATACCAATTCTTTTCAAACTCTTCTAAAAAATTAAAGATGAGGGGATTTTTCCAAATTCATTCTATGAAGCCAACATCACCCTGACGCCAAAACCAGACAAAGACACAACAAAAAAAGAAAATACAGGCTAAATCCCTGATGAGCATAGATGCAAAAATCTTCAACAAAGTACTAGCAAACCAAATCCAACAGCACATCAAAAAGATAATATGCCATTATTAAGTGGGATTTACACCAGGGATGCAAGGATGTTTCAACATAGGCAAATCGATAAAGGTGATTCATCAACAAAATGAAAAAAACCATATGATCATCTTAATAGATGTGGAAAAAGCATTTCATAAAATTCAACATCCCTTCATGATAAAAACTCACAACAAATTAGGCATAGAAGGAGCGTACCTCAAAATAATAAAAGGTCATATAAGAGAAAGCGACAGCTAACATCATACTGAATGAAAAAAGTTGAAAGCTTCTAAGATCTGGAACAAGATAAGGATGCTGACTTTGACCATTTCTATTTAACATAATAGTACTCTAGCTAGAGTAATTAAGCAAGAGAAAGAAAGGACATCCAAATTGGAAAGGAAGAAGTCAAATTATCTGTTTATAGGTGACATCTTATATAAAGACTATACCAAAAAACTGATAGAACTAATAAACACATTCAGTAAAGTTGCAGAAAATAAAATTAACATTTTAAAGTCAGTAACATTTCTATATACCAGTAGTGAACTACCTGAATAAAATGAAGAAAGCAATTCCATTTACAATAGCTACAACAAAAAAACCCTAGGAATAAATTTAACCAAGGAAGTGAAAGATATCTACAATAAAAACTATAAAATACTGATGAAATTGAAAAGGATACAAATAAATGGGAAGATATTCTGTTTTCATGAATTAGAAGAATTAATATTGTTAAAATGTCCATACTACCCAAAGCAATCTGCAGATTAAAGGCAGTTTCTATCACAATACTAATGGTTTCCTTCACAGAAATAGAAAAAAACAATCATAAAAGTCATGTGGAACCACAAAAGATCCTGAAAAGCCAAAGCAATCCTGAGTGAAAAGAACAAAGTTGGAGGTGTCACACTCCCTGACTTCAAAATATACTACAAGGTTATAGTAGCCAAAACAGCATGATATTGGCCAGTGGTAGACCAGTGGAACACAACAGAAACAGAGCAATAAACCCATGCACTTACAATTGATTTTCAACAAAAGAACGGACATTGGGGAAAGGACAATTTCTTCAATAAATGGTGTTGGGAAAAATAGATATCCACAGGCAGCAGAATGAAACTAGACCCCTATCTCTCACAGTGTACAAAAATAAACTCAAATGAATTAAAGACATAATGTCTTGAATGTAAGACATAAACTATAAAAATACTAGAAAAAATAGGGGAAATGCTTTATGACATTGCTCTGGGCAAGGATTTCTTGAATAAGAATTCAAAAAGACAGGCAACCAAACAAAAATAGAGAAATGGAGTTATTAATATATCTCTACAAAGCTTCTGAACAACAAAAGAAGCAATCAAGGGAGATAATCAAGATGGCGGATGAGAAACACCGCCAGACAGAGCGTCTCTGCAGAAAAGACAGATTCTAGAAGAAAGAAGCAAGAAGACGAGCATACATCAGACGAGGGTCAGAAGGAGAGGTACCTAAGACCACGGGAGACTCCACAGGAGGAGGTTGCGGAGGAGAACTGGAAGCAGAGACCTCCAGAGCAGCCTGGAGACCAGCGGCAAGGGTAGGTGGCACGATTAACTCTCCCCTCCCTTGCATCTCGGACTGCTGGTGGGTGCCCCGCAGGTGGAGAGACCTGCGGACACCAGCTGAGAGACAGCCACCGCCAGTGAGTGGTAAGCCTGTAGCGGACATGGCACCAGGCTCCCAACTCTCACAGAGCGCTTCCCTGTGCACAGACCGGAGCCGCGGGGCAGGCACCATATTGCCTCGTTCTCCCCTCCCCCGACCCTATCCTTGGCTGCTGAGAGAGACAAAATAGCCACGAGCTGGAGGCACCTCGAGGGAACTGGACCTTCCCTTTTGCGGCCCTACAGCTGACTGAGGGGAACTCAAACGGGGAGTTCCCTACCCGCCAGCTCTCCCAGGTTCTGCTGGCCCGGCCATCCCAGGAAAATGGGGCAGACCCTGAGGCTGAGAGACATAGACTCACCTTGGGCTCCCCATGGGTGAATTAGGACTGGCACTCCTCTCCCTGGTGGGGATACACTTTGAACTCTGCGGCCCAGAGGTTAGACCTGCAGACCAAATCCCGTGCACCCTGGTCTCGCATTGCCCGGGGCACAGAAGGGATATCTGTGAACAGCCTCCTGAGGTGTGTGTGCCTTCAGGGGCAGAGCAGTGTCCTAGAGGGTAACCCTCCTCCCAAAGGGAGTCCGTGCGCCCAGCCCAGGTGGCGTTCCTGCACAGGGAACCTCCCGGCCGGCATCACAGCCAGGGGAGGCCCGGTGGCATGAGGTCTGGCCTGCTGGCAGAAGCCCAGGGGTAGCCGCGGAGTTGGGGACGGTGGAAAGAAGCGAGGCCTGCCCCAGACTATAGCTCTCAGACAGCCCCACCCCCACATGCAGACTTTCTGACTGAGCAGGACCATTCCAGTGTCTTCCTTGCAGCTTTTCCTGGAAGCAGAGAACAGAATTTTGACCCCTGCTAACGGCATTGGTGGTGCCTGACGGCAGGCTTACCTAACCCAGCTCCGCCCAGACTCACTCCCAGACCAGCCCTAGCTAAGAGGGAGAAAAGGAAACAGCTGGAAGTCCAGGGCTCCACCGACCACCTGAGGCACTAGAGTGCCTCTCCAGAGGAACAAGAGCTGGTCACAGGTCACAAAAACAACAACATAGCCTGTTCCTCCAAGCAAGTGCCACTTACTGACAGGGAGGATATCCTG